TCAAAACTTCTCAGGAACGATAGGAAGGTGATGTTCGGGGAGGGATATTTTCTAGCTTTTCCACTTTAACTTTTATCAAGGGATATCGGATGTCTCAATCTGTTTTTGAACATCATCTATTTGACATATATACCCTTCTATAGGCGTCTGATATAATCTAGGAGCGTTAAATAGATTTGTGTAAATAACATAACTATATGAATATATAGATATTTATAGTTTAAAAAAAACCGCTAATCAGACAGTTTCAATCATATTTGAATTTTCTAGATTTATCAGTGTAATCACATTTATTAGATATTTGTTGATAAATTAGTAATTATCTTTAAAATATTCATACATCATCTAAATAAATTATCTTCAAATTAACTTTTAAATTTTATTCTTATTTTAAGAATGAAGAACATAATGGTCATATCTTAAAATCTAATCAAACAGATTCGAACGATAAAAATAATATCAAACGAAACTTAGACAATAATCAACTGCAAGAAGATCAAATCGATAGTCATCGACATTATAATGAACAATCGAATTCTTTTTTCAATAACGAAAATCTTCACAACTCGATGAGTACTCAATCGATTGTGATTAATTCCAGAGATAACGAACATGATTATGTTTTTATTCCAAATAATCAGATATTATCTGATGAACTGCTGAAAAAACAACAAACATCTATCAATAGATTAAAAGATGATCAAACAATGGGCAAATTTCAATACAATAGATCGATATCGCTCAATCCTGAATATGGTCAATCACAAGAAGCTAATCCACATAGAAGAACCTCTTTGACAATTAATCTTGAGAATGCGAGAGATGAATCTCGAGAATCAATCAATAAAACGACAATAGTAAAAACATATTCAAGAAAATAATTCACTTTCAGTTGGATCAACAAACAATAACAACAAATTAAATGTTGAACAACATGAACAAACAAAAATAATATCTGATGATTACTCACCGGTATTCTTTTAGAAATTATTTTCTTCTTTATAGATCGAATCATGTCTTATAATCAGACTATTTTTTAAAATATTCACCTTGATTAGTTAATTGATAGTTCTCTCAAATATTAACAATTGTTCATTCCAAAAAAGAAGGCGGATGGCTATTTTTTGAATAACGTCTGAACGGATTGAGACAGAGAGCTGCGGTTTTCATCATTGGAAAGAGGAGATGAAGACTCATCGAACCATGTATAAAAACATTTTTCTGACTGCTTTTCTAACAGTTTTACATAGAGCTTCTAGAAGAACAGCATATCTCCCATGTTTGCAATGTTATTTTATTGATTTTGAAGAGTGTAGTAGAACCGACAGATGAAGCATTACAAAACTATATAAACATTTTATTCCTAACCACTACCAATAAGATATCCTAGCCATTGGAATGCAATTTATCATCCAATTTTTGGAACAAAATATTCAACCGCCTTCAGTTTTGGAATGAGCAATAGATCATTTGAGATTATGATTGATTATTAGATAGGATGAATTTTATTTGCTTCTATGCTCAATCTATTTTAATAAAATAAACGAAATAGACAAGATTTTAGCTGAGTGTTTTATCCAGAGCGGTACCCGGGGAAGCGCCCCCTCCGCCGAAAAAAAATTTTTCGCTCTTCCAGAATTTGAAATCGTCCCTCCGGAGAAAAAACCTGGATAAAACACTGTTTTAGCTTTAAACAGAATGTTTCCTTATTGTCGATTTATGATTTTCATTTACCAAAATTTGAATTATCATTTATGATAATGAATCATTTTGGAAAATTAATATTCTAATTCTATATATAATATAATATGATATTGTTATATACATAGGATATATCGATTGCTCGAACCAAATTTTGAAGGAATACGAAGTCGAATTGAACTGCTTGGTGAATTAATTTCAAGCAACAAACTTGATTCAATACCTGATGAATACGATCAAATGAAAGATATTATTGCAGCCATTGAACGAAACGATCGTTTTCAATCAGATTCAGATGGTAAACGTCTTCTTCAATTAACGAATGCAGCAAAAAGTAATTTAAATATTGATTTATACAATCTTGATGTTGAAATACATCGTCAATTTGGACTTCATTCTGTTGAAGTTATTGGCGACGGAGTAAGAATCGACATATATATATATATACAGTTATTTTTATTTTTATTCTTTTTATCATATTGTTAAAAGGCATGTGCCTTTCGAGCTACTCTCATATCTGGTATATTTATTCAAACAATACTAATTATTAACAAATATACTTGTTTAAATGTAGGATTACATCAACCTGATGTGTATCATAGTGAATTACGTGAAAATGCTATTGAACAAGCATTGAATAATATAGATTATTATTCAACTGTATTAAGACCTGGTGAAAAGGTCAGTGAGAAAGAATTGAAAGATTGGGCCAAATCAATGGCTGATTCAAACACCTGTGGAGACGAAATGGCTAATATGGCTTTAGCAGATAAATATCACATTCAGTTGGTTATTTTTCGTGCTGGAGAATTACTTACTGTTGTCAATCCACGTGATAGATATGTTAAACATATAGCTTTTCTTGTTAATGTCGGTACATATTTAAAGCTCTTGTATCTCGCTATGAATTAGAAGAGGCACGTAAACATTCTGAACATCTCTCAAAACAAACTTAGTTTATCTTTTTTTTTCTTGAATATTACTAGCGATTTATTACTCTTTAATGATTTATAAAATAACAAGATTTCTTCTTTTAACTATCAATTTTTAACAGATGACAAAAAACAATTAATTAAAATAATATATACTATTAAAGAATTAATATTAATGAAATAAATCAATAACATTTTCAAATAATGATTTACGGTTTTAGGGCGGTGTTTTTGTATCTTGCCCTGCCCTGTGAAAAAAATAGTAAGTTAGAAAATTCACTACCTGTTCTGTAGAGCATTGAAAAGATTTCAATTTTATATTTTTTGTGTGATTAACGTAAGAGCTAGAAAGTAAACCTAACTTGTATTGATAAAGAAACAGTTTTTTTGTTTTTTAATGATAAATCTACGATAACCATATTGTAATTATTTTCATGAAGTGAATGATGAGCATAGTTTTTACTGAGATAGGAAAAGAAAATACGACAAGAAAAATTCCTGTTGACGAAACCAAGAATTCGTTCAAACTGAATTTTTTTCCATTAAGCGTTGCTCAATAGCAAAATAACCGTCACCTAGATGCCAAGGATTTTTTTTTTGATTCATGCTTTAAAATACAAAACTTATTTTTTGTCTTTTGATAAAAATAGCTGTAATTGATCTGAAGCATTCGATGTAATTAGTTGCTGTAGTAGAAACACTCGAGGAAGAAGAAATCGAAGTAATGTTTCCATCATCAGTCGTTGAAGAATAAATAGAAACAATGGTGGGTGTGAGTATCAGAAAAGATAGCATCAACACCCACACCCACACCCATATAATCAAAAAACGTTGGAAATTTACCAGAAAACTCTTCCTTGAAATCATCTGAGTTTGGTTGTTTCTTATAAGCACATTGAAATAATATCTTCTAAGAGTGAAGAGCACTCGAAAGATGTTTTATATTTTGAACATGCACTTAAAATACTAAAAGATTCACTACCTTCGAATTATCCAGATTTTCAGTTATGCAGAAATAATCTCGAATGTATAAAAAAGAAATAATAATTTTCTTTTACTTCGATCAAACAAATAAATGCAATGAAGAGAAAAGAATATCTTCGTTGCATTTTTATTTGAAGAGATATGCGCGTACATGTGCAGAGAAACTATTCAGTGACATAGGTGATAGAACCATTAGACCTGAGTAGATTTGATTCAGTGTAAAAGCTTTCTTTTATTGTTTAGTTTTCGTGTTCTTCTAACAGTTAATGCATTGTTAGAAAGTTAGTTCATATTTTTTCTACTGCCAACTCGTGCACAGTTAAATATTGATTGGATTGCACGGACATTTATTTGACGTCGAATTGAGTCTCTGCTTCTGATAGAAGATAGTTTAATTGTTGTTTTAAACTTCTCTTTAAAATAACTTTTAGACGAATATTGAAACTCTTGTAGAACCGCAAAAATTTTTCGGACACAAATAGTAAAATTTTTTTGGTACAGGAAAGTTA